TGATCATCACACTTCTATTTATTTACAACTCAATTATTACAACTTGATACTAGAACAAAAGATGACTCTATATGAATGCCTCCGGCGGTGTACCGGGATATGCAATGAACCAAGAGTGACATGTATGAAAGAATTATGAACGGTGGCTTTGCCACAAATACTATGTCAACTACATGATCATGCTAAGAAATATGACAATGATGAATGTGTCATGATGAACGGAATGATGAAAGTTGCATGGCAATATATCTCGGAATAGCTATGGAAATGCCATAATAGGTAGGTATGGTGGCTGTTTTGAGGAAGATATAAGGAGGTTTATGTGTGAACGAGCGTATCATATCACGGGGTTTGGATGCACCGGCGAAGTTTGCGCCAACTCTCAATGTGAGAAGGGGCAATGCACGTTACCGAAGAGGCTAGCAAGGATGGAAGGGTGAGAGTGCGTATAATCCATGGACTCAACATTAGTCATAAAGAACTCACATACTTATTGCAAGAATCTACAAGCCATCAAAAACCTCGGTTCTACGCGCATGCTCCTAGGGGGATAGATTGGTAGGAAAAGACCATCGCTCGTCCCCGACCGCCACTCATAAGGAAGACAATCAAATAACACCTCAAGTTTCAAATTTGTTGCATAACGTTTACCATACGTGCATCCTACGAGACTTGCAAACTTCAAAACAAGTATTTCTCAATTTCACAACTACTCAACTAGCACGACTTTGATATTATTACCTCCATGTCTCAAAACAACCATCAAGCATCAAATTTCTCTTAGTATTCAACACACTCATAAGAAAGTTTTATTATTAATCTTGCATACCAAGCATATTAGGATTTTAAGAAAATTACCATGCTATTAAGACTCTCAAAATAATCTAAGTGAAGCATGAGAGATCAATAGTTTCTATAAAACAAATCCACCATCGTGCTCTAAAAGATATAAGTGAAGCACTAGAGCAAAATTATATAACTCAAAAGATATAAGCAAAGCACATAGAGTATTCTAACAAATTACAAATCATGTATGACTCTCTCAAAAGGTGTGTACAGCAAGGATGATTGTGGTATACTAACAAATGAAGACTCAAGTCATACAAGACGCTCCAAGTAAAACACATATCATGTGGTAAATAAAAATATAGCTCCAAGTAAAGTTATCGATAGAAGTAGACAAAAGAGGGGATGCCTTCCGGGGCATCCCCAAGCTTTGGCTTTTAGGTGTCCTTAGATTATCTTGGGGGTGCCATGGGCATCCCCAAGCTTAGGCTCTTGCCACTCCTTGTTCCATAATCCATCAAATCTTTACCCAAAACTTGAAAACTTCACAACACAAAACTTAAAGTAGAAAACTCGTGAGCTCCGTTAGCGAAAGAAAACAAAAGACCACTTAAAGGTACTGTAATGAACTCATTCTTTATTTATATGGATGTTATACCTACTGTATTCCAACTTCTATATGGTCCATAAACTATTTTACTAGCCATAGATTCATCAAAATAAGCAAACAACACATGAAAAACAGAATCTGTCAAAAACAGAACAGTCTGTAGTAATCTGTATCTAGCGCAAGATCTGGAGCCCCAAAAATTCTAAAACAAATTGCTGGACGTGATGAATTTATTATTAATCATCTGCAAAAAGAATTAACTAAATATCACTCGCCAAATAAAAATGGCAGCAGTTCTCGTGAGCGCTGAAGTTTCTGTTTTTTACAGCAAGTTCAACAAGACTTTCCCCAAGTCTTCCCAATGGTTCTACTTGGCACAAACACTAATTAAACACAAATAAAATAGAGGCTAAATAATTTATTTATTACTAAGCATGGGCAAAAAGCAAGGAATAAAAATAAAATTGGGTTGCCTCCCAACAAGCGCTATCGTTTAACGCCCCTAGCTAGGCATAACAAGCACGAATAGATCTAGGTATTGCCATCTTTGGTTTTCAACTTTTTAGCGGAATCAAGTTCGAATCCGGGAGGTTCTTTACGTTTCCCTTCATATTCTGAAATTTTTAGATTTAACGAATCCAACCGCTTATTGCAAAGGGTAATCAACATATTCATGCGGTGAATATTTCCACTAATGTTCTTAAGAGGTTCAAGAGATTTCTGCAAGATTTTAGTAACTTCACAAATTTTTTCAAAAACTTGTGTCTCTTCCTGGGTAGGATGAGGCCCCTTTTTTGAGGTAGTGTTCCCACTATACCTTCTATAATTTCAAGTGCAATATGGGGATCGATTTCAATAAAATTGCCTTTGGCAACGCAATCCAAGAGTTGTCTATGAGACATATTTAATCCAACATAAAAATTGCGAAGCAAAATTCTCAGATTTATTTCAGAGGTACAATTACGATGAGATTCCATTATTCTCAACCAGGCATCTTTTAAGTTTTCTCCTAACCTTTGTTTAAAGTGAAAGATTTCGAACTCAGGGGTCAACGGAGAAGATAAGCGACTAGCCATAACGACAAGCAAGCAAACTAACACACAAGCAAACAAAAAGCAAGCGGACAAAAAGGGCAAATAGAGAAAGAGAGGGAGGATAGAGAGAGATAGGGCGAATAAAATGGTAAGGGTGAATTGGGAGGAGAGGAAAACGAGAGTCAAATGGCAAATAATGTAATGCGGGAGATAAGGGTATGTGATGGGTACTTGGTATGTTGACTTTTGCGTAGACGTCCCCGGCAACGGCGCCAGAAATCCTTCTTGCTACCTCTTTTAGCACTGCATTGATTTTCCCCGAAGAGGAAGGGATGACATAGCAAAGTAGCGTAAGTATTTCCCTCAGTTTTTGAGAACCAAGGTATCAATCCAGTAGGAGGCTACGCGCGAGTCCCTCGTACATGCACAAAACAAATAAATCCTCGCAGCCAACGCAAATAGGGGTTGTCAATCCCTATAGGGCCACTTACAAGAGTGAGATCTGATAGATATGATAAGATAATATTTTTGGTATTTTTATGATAAAGATGCAAAGTAAAATAAAAGCAAAGTAAATAACTAAGTAGTAGGAGATTGATATGATAAAGATAGACCCGGGGGCCATAGGTTTCACTAGTGGCTTCTCTCGAGAGCATAAGTATTCTACGGTGGGTGAACAAATTACTGTTGAGCAATTGACAGAATTGAGCATAGTTATGAGAATATCTAGGTATGATCATGTATATAGGCATCACGTCCGAGACAAGTAGACCGACTCCTGCCTGCATCTACTACTATTACTCCACTCATCGACCGCTATCCAGCATGCATCTAGAGTATTAAGTTAAAAATAGAGTAACGCCTTAAGCAATATGACATGATGTAGAGGGATAGACTCATGCAATATGAAGAAAACACCATCTTGTTATCCTCGATGGCAACAATACAATACGTGCCTTGCTGCCCTTACTGTCACCGGGAAAGGACACCGCAAGATTGAACCCAAAGCTAAGCACTTCTCCCATTGCAAGAAAGATCAATCTAGTAGGCCAAACCAAACTGATAATTCGAAGAGACTTGCAAAGATAACCTAATCATACATAAAAGAATTCAGAGAAGATTCAAATATTATTCATAGATAGACTTGATCATAAACCCACAATTCATCGGTCTCAACAAACACACCGCAAAAAGAAGATTACATCGAATAGATCTCCACAAGAGAGGGGGAGAATATTGTATTGAGATCCAAAAAGAGAGAAGAAGCCATCTAGCTACTAACTATGGACTCGTAGGTCTGAAGTAAACTACTCACACTTCATCGGAGAGGCTATGGTGTTGATGTAGAAGCCCTCCGTGATCGATGCCCCCTCCGGTGGAGCTCCGGAACAGGCCCCAAGATGGGATCTCATGGATACAGAAAGTTACGGCGGTGGAATTAGGGTTTTGGCTCATGTTCTGATCGTTTGGGGGTACGTGGGTATATATAGGAGGAAGAAATACGTCGGTGGAGCAACAGGGGCCCCAGGAGGGTGGAGGACGCGCCTGGGGGGTAGGCCCGCCCCCTACCTCGTGGGCTCCTATTAGCTGGCTTGACGTAGGGTCCAAGTCTCCTGAGTTGTATTCGGTGAGAAAATCACGTTCCCAAAGGTTTCATTCCATTTGGACTCCGTTTGATATTCCTTTTCTTCAAAACCCTAAAATAGGCAAAAACAACAATTCTGGGCTGGGCCTCGGGTTAATAGATTAGTCCCAAAAATAATATAAAAGTGGACAATAAAGCCCAATAATGTCCAAAACAGTAGATAATATAGCATGGAGCAATCAGAAATTATAGATATGTTGAAGACGTATCACTTGCATCTACTACTATTACTCCACTCATCCACCGCTATCCAGCATGCATCTATAGTATTTAACCTATAAACCTTGCTACGCTACCCGCTATCCTAGGGGCGCGAGGATCCTCTACCGTTCGGCAGCCTGCCGTTCTATCACTGACATGTGGGCCTGCGGGAAACATGGCCCACATGTCAGTGGCCCAACGTCACCTAGCGCACGGCAGAGGAGCCGTGTCCATCCTAGGGGGCTTGCGCTCGCAATTGATTTCCGCCGCTCGATCGTTTTACTGTAGTCGTTTTTACCTTGCTGTCAATTGGTCAACCATTCATCCGTTTTACACACATGACGTTGGCTGACGCTGCATGACTGGTGGGCTTGTTTGTCTATGGGTCCCAAAGGTCAGCCAGTGGGTTTTTTGCGGGCTGCGTGATGCACAATCAGGACGCAGTAAAAACCTAGCCCAATCCCCTCTCGTCCACAAGCCCCAATCGCCTCCCGTCCTCGAGCCCCACATCACAGCGACCCTCCTCTCCTCTCCCGTGATTCCCGTCGCGTCGCCGCCCTTTCCTCCATCCCCGCCCCTGTCGCGAGCCCCTCTTCTTCCCCATCCCACCGACATCATCCTCTACCGCTCTCCTCGTTGTGAGTCGCTCCAGGTCGCAGAGGATGATATGCATCCGGATCTGCGCAGTTGAGGTGAGGAACGGAGGTGGGGGGAAGGAGCAGCGATGCTGTTGACCAGTCAGGGGACGGAGGTGGAGGAAGGAGTAGCAAGGCTGGTGATGGGCCAGGGGCCACCAGAGGATGCAGAAGGGGGACGACGTCGCGCTTCTCGCCACCTCCACATCCTCCTTATCAGCGGCGGTGCAACTCCAGCAGGGAAGGGGGACGACGCTGCGCTTCTGATGCTGGTTCACATGCAGGTTTCAGAGAGTAGCACCATGCATTGCATGATGACTGTGGGTGATCTTTGCAAGACAATGCTTTTGAGTATCGGAATTATGGTCATTCTCAAAAGGTAGATCTGTTACATTGATTCAAAATGGCATAGTTGTGCTCTTGCATGACCACTTGATGTGTTTTTTAATATATTTTATTTTTCATTACAAAGTTATTGTATAGGATAAGGAAGAACTTTAGGAGACTCTTGCTTATTTTCTTCTGGAATAATAGTGTGTCTTCGATTCCAGTTTGTAGAGGCCTGCTAAGTATCCTAAATTAGTTTCACAAATATTTATGCCATCTACAAATTCGATGATCTGTAAAGCAGACGGTAGCATCATATGGCGCTGAGCGGCAGGACATGAGACACCATCTCTATTTTTTTAACTCTGTATTATAATTTTCGTTAGTATTTGCCTACTCTTTACGTAGTGATAGCCATTTATTCTTTGATTCATTGGACTGAAGACTAGACCAATTCATGCTTGCGATGGTTCATCTATAGTGTTATCGGAGCTTTTAGTTTGTTTGATTTGCTGTCCTTATTATATTCTTGCATTATACTATTTTTCCACTTATATAAATTCAGTTTATGTGGTGTCCACCTTTGTCATGTTTGCATTTGGTGATGAACCACCTGCAACTTGCAGGATTTGGTCATAGTTGGTGTGCAGTACAATTAGAAGTATGGTAGGCTCTATATATCCAAGGTCTTCCTGAAATGACTGATGTATTACCTATGTTTTGGGTTATTCAAAAGCATGCACTGTTGACTTTTCAAAACATCGCTTGCAATTTTTTGTGCTCCTTTGATTTATTTTTGCCTTCTGTCGTCCTTGGTTTTGCTATTTTGCTCACTCCTCCTCCCGTTGTTTTTTGCAGGGTTAATCAGTCATCTGTTCGTCTGTATTGCTACTCGGGGAGGTAAGTTCTTCCTTGCTCATCTCATATTCGACAAATTCATGTGAACTGAGATGACTCTCCATGAGCTGGCCAAGGTGGTTCACGCTAAGGAAGCAGCCGACAGTGCAAGGTATAGAAGAGGGAATTTGTGTGATTTGTTCTCTCTTCATTTCCTGCTGGGAAGAAATTAGAAATAGTGATCACTCAATCTTCTGTAGCATGTATATACTGATGGTAGTTTCTTTGACTGAATATGTGAACCTGGAGAAGACTCTGCTATTAGAACGGCTGAAGGAGAGTATGCAGATCTTCAGTATCTTCGACAGGTTTTTGTTCTGTTACAAGCGCTAATGGCCTATTTTCATTTTGTTGAACTATGATTGTTTCTGTATGCTTCTTCTCTAAAAGCAAATTGTATTCTGTTATAGTTACAGTCAGTGTGGGCCTGAAAATTCACATCACCAAAAGAATTGTAGAATTTGATAAGAGAATTGTTTCTTAATAAGTAAATAAGATACAAATACAGTGTCTAACATTGATGGAATGAACCTGCTGCAAGAGGCAATAAAAGTGACGATGCTTGATTTTATTAATTGACAGGATGAAATATTAAGTAGTAAGATAAATGTGAGCATTCACCTAATTTGTTTTTTACCTATTGAAATGGGTAGTTGGTCACGTACTGTCAACTTGGTACATTCAGTGTGCGTGTTCAGGTTTTAGGATGAAATTTAATCCAAGATCATTACTTCATGTTTTCCTACGTTTATGTTGGCATCTTTGACTTTGATATGTTCATTGCACTCTATTGGTTCTGATGCCACAAAGTGACTGTGCTTTGTTAGTACATCTATGGATACTTATGCTTTATTCAAGACACAATCAGTTTCTTTTTCCTTTGTAAATAGTCTGTAGATATAGCGTTGGCCTGAGCCCCTAAGTGTCGTATACTATTTCCTGCATGCTCATTTTCTCTTTATATTCAATTCATGTGCCTTAGCAACAACCTAAGTTAAAGACAACAGGAATAAATATTAGTTGTTTCATCTATGGCCTCGTCATTTAGCTTTTACTTAAACTGAATAAAAAAATTGAATAATTTCAATATATACTATTTAATGTTTTGCCAAGACTCTCATAGTGTGTTAAAAATTTAAATATATAACTATGCAATAACAAAGTTATAAATTGATCCAGTGTTTCGTATGAAGGATTCGATTAGTGTATTTGTAATGCAGTTTTGTGATTCAGTATCGTCGTGGTAGTTCAAAGACCCAAGGTGAGATCGTCATATTTGATTTCTTAGTTCCTAGGTCACAAATCATCTGCTATCGCCAACATTCGAGTTGTCCATCCATCCATCTATCTATGGTGCGCTCGCCAACCACATCCTCTGTTCAGATTTTGAGTGTGGCAACAGGTCATCAGTTGTAGTGTCAAATACAAGATTAAGCTATTTGAATCTTGCCATATGGTAGACCTACGAGCAGAACAAAAAAAATATATAACTTATGCTGGTTAGAACAAATGCTCAGCTCGCCTTGTTTTTTTCTTTTTTGCCTCTTTTTGGTCCTGTTCAGAGGAGATGTTAAATGTTGGTTGATGTCTGCATATCGCCTTGTATTTAATGAAAATAAGGTCCTTCGATGGATATCCATGGCTTTCAGTTTTACTTGCAGCCAATGAATATAGTTATGGCACTTGTTGCCTTGTTGCGCTGTTCAATGATTATCAGGATTTTAACACCTACACTATATATCCTAGGTAAACCACATGGTGTTGTTTTCAAATCATATGTTTGTCCTAGGTAAACCACAGGAATTTATGAACTTTCTTGGCCGCTTTATTAGAACTACGGGTTTGTAATATGCTCCGGTTTTATCACTTTATGAGTATGTATATGGTAGGGAGCAGCACCCGTGTAAGCGAGAAAACTTGTTGGTTGCCTGCATATCATGTGATAGTTTTTGGCTACTATTCTGCTCATGTTTCCATGAACCCATTTATGATTCGAAGCAGTCAGGCCTCTCTCTTCCTTCTAATTTTTCCATGAACACCATGGCCGCCTTCGCCGAGAGCGCCCGCATCTTCATCCATTGCCTCTCTGCCAGGTACGTGCCTCCTGCCATGCCTCTCCTTGTTCTTCCTTACCTCCATTTTTGCTCTGATTCTTAGGGGTAAACCTGTTTGATTTGGTTAATTAGGTTAATTAGGGTGACCGTTTCTTTTTGGGTTATCTGGGTGCGAATTTGATGCTTGTGTTAAATGTTCGAGGTATCTTGGGCAGGAAAAAATGGTGGTAGTTAATTTATTGGCGCCAGTTAGTATTACTGGAGATTAATTTAATTGATTGGCTTAAAAAACTTTCATGTATCAAAACAGTGTTAGTACTTTTGTGTTGTGGTATTGAATGGTTTACCAAAAGGAAGAGGGTTAATTTTGCTTGCTGAAATGAACTCAGCTAGCAACCTTGCTCTTGAAGATTACACCACAACAACTGAAAAGATTGCAGAGCAAAAAAATGGTGGTGGTTAATTTATTGGCGCCAGTTAGTACTACTGGAGATTAATTTAATTGATTGGCTTAAAAAACTTTCATGTATCAAAATAGTGTTAGTACTTTTGTGTTGTGGTATTGAATGGTTTACCAAAAGGAAGAGGGTTAATTTTGCTTTCTGAAATGAACTCAGCTAGCAAGCTTGCTCTTGAAGATTACACCACAACAACTGAAAAGATTGCAGAGCAACATTATGATTTTATGAATGGATTTATATCAGCAAATCTTGCATCTTAGTTGGTCCAGCTATGCCTATGCCAACATCTGAAAGTTATTGGCATTCTTTTCCCCTTCTGAATATTTTATTTTAATTTGTAGGAGCTTTAGCCGGGTTGCTCATCAGTAAAAACTGAGAAGTGTGTTTCTTCGTAGATGGTTGCGATATGGAGAAAGAATTTGGATATTTGGAGTGTGCACTGGACCTATTGGAAGATAATTCCATTACTAGATTCATAACTTTTGGAGTCCATTCAATATTCAATCACAAAATTCACTTATAAGAACAACTACATACATATGATTGCTGCACTCATGATATCCTACTGTATTGCTTCTTAGTGATGATTAATTATGAGAACAAATATAAAACTGCTGCTGCCTGTGCTAATGGTTGGTACCCACTTGCTTTTGGATCTTCGATGCTGCCATTTTTTTCCTATCGAGTATTGATACTTGTTTGCTTTCTTTTGCTGTTATGCTAAATTTGTATTTTGATTTTGTAAACTAGGTCTGCACAGAAATACATTTAGTCCTCAAAAATGTTAAATGAAGACGCCCTGATGATGCTAAAGCATTTCTAAATCTGAAGTATCGAGGAAGTTAACAACATGGAATGTATGACGCTAAGTGCTCTGTGGTACAGATGGTTTAGTAGTACCATACTACCTTGATTAGATGCTTATAACTGTGACATGTTGCATGAATACGTAAGTGATCTGCGTGTGCATTCATGATAGATGTTTATGGCTGCGATCTTTTCTGGAAGTTGTTTTTAAATTCTAATTGTTTGTGGTTCTTATACATAGTCTGTTATAAAAATGTAGTTCTGTTACGTATAGCTATGGCTGCCCAACAAGCGGTGAGCCTAAGAACCCCGTCGGATGTTCATTGCATATAGCTCGGGAGGCAGACAAGAGGAACCAAGCGGATCTCCTTCCATGACGGCAACCCAAGCAGAACCGAAATCTTCCACGTGGCGGCAGCCATTAGTGAGATCTGGAGGGGAGCAGCAGCCGCGGCCTCGATCCGGAGAAGGGGAGCAGCAGCGCCCCTCTTCTTCACACGTGGCGGCCTTGCGCAGCTGCCTCCATCCCACGCGTGCAGCTGCCACATGAAGGCAAGCGAGCACACATGGTGAGAATCCCCTGCGTCCTAAAATTTGTTGATTTTTTGGTCCAATATGAATATACATGGGAAGTTGATGCTGGCTTACAGAAATAGATATGGCAAGTGGATTTCCTCTCACCTCAACACTTACTGAATTCAGTACCAGAAGAAGCCTGCTATGCCACTGATTTTGCACTACTGGTGTAAATATTGAGAACTATATGAACTGATGCACCTTGTGGTCTGGAAATATGTATATCTCTGTCTCCTTTTCCTAGCACTTCTCATTTATGAAACAATTCATTCCCTATACCGTATTTAAATATCTTTACATTTGAACATAACTTATACTAGGAATTCCAAGGTTTTTTAAGTAATCGAGTGAAACCTATTCTTGCAGGCTCCTGATTGTGTGGATATTTGCAGCTTCAGAATTATTTTATTCTTAGCCATATGTCATCAAGGTGCAGCTGCTCATATGATTTCCACTCGCTATGGAATTAGGAGAAGTCAGTTACTTGATCTGACTGTTTAAAGTTCCACGGTTTTTCAATATATGTTAACTATGTTCAGAGATCTAAAAGACTATCAGGCTACACCAATTCTGAATGCAGTTTGAAAGTACTTGTTGTTCTATGTTCTTGGGCACGTAATAAGCTTCAAGCTTGCGACAGAAAAAGATACACATGCTCACAATTATTATCTTCTGGCGACCATTTTAGGCTTGTTTCACGAAGTGAGTATGCAAGATAACTTCAGGCAAAGTGTACAGAGGCTGCAGCTGAAGCCGGACTTTGATGCTTGCAAGTTGGTGGATCACCAGTTATTATCAGGTTCAATCCCTTTGCCATGTAATACTGTGGCGACATTGTCTGTTATGTATAATTGTGCACACAGGTTTCTGTTGGAACAATCACTGAAAACGATGATAGACTTTGTCTCACATGTGTCGCTCACTGATGAGAACTAGACTGAAGTGAATTGTGCTAGAGAAGGAGTGGCCGGGAAAGTACACCAGTGATGCCCTACAAGGCGAGCAGAAGAAAGCTAAAGAGATGCTCCGTGTAATCCCTAAGAAGCAGAAAGGGAGCAAAAGAACAGGTCCGCTTCAAGGGTAAAATCCTCTGGGTTTTTTTTTCGAAA